ATATATATATATATATATTTATAATTAATCGTGAACATGGTAACAAATAATGAAACATTGAAAAAATTGCACAATATACAAACTAAGTGTTCAGCTCGTCTCCTCCTTTAAATTCTCTATCTTTCAGGTATGGAATACCTATGGAAAAAATACACACACGCACGCACGCACGCACGCACGCATACACACGCACACGCACACGCACACACACACACACACACATGCGCGCGCGCATGCACACACGCAAATACGTATACACGCGCTCATCGACGACCCACGCAGACTTAACAGCCATACTCGCATGCACATGCACTCGTACGAACCGTGCCGACCTTCCGTCAATCGGGCTTACTCAGTAGATACGGTATATCTTTAGATTCTACGTGCGTATCAATTAATTTATTTGGCCACTGAACATTTAAAATTTAGTTATTTTTTATTTCTCGTCTCCTTGACTATTTCACCTCTTACGATCAGGTAAGATTAGTCTTTTTGAAGCATATCCTCCTTCCTTCGTTTTTGATGAGTTACATTGCAACGATTTCGATTTATTTCGTATCCTTTTTTTGCTTTTTGGCATTGTCGCCTTGATTATTTTGTTGCACACGGTATTTTAAATATCGAGATTTTGCAGATCGATGACGAGCGAGACGAGCAATCTCCCGCTGATGGCCATATGTTGTAGAAGCGCTCGCGGATACAAGATGATAAAGTTGACTGTCTGTCGTAGATCATGTACGAGGCAGGGAATCATTCGCGAAATATTCGGCTGCGTGAAAAGCGTACGAAAATCTTATGCGGATTATACAGCCCGTAATATACTTGCTTATCTACATTGTTTTAATGAGTATGACGAGAATATTAAAAAATATATATATTCATTTGTATTCTGCTGAGTTTTTCGTGATGATCGTTTCATCGAACGATCCCCTTACCCGCGCATGTTTCGAATAATGCTGTAGTCGGAAAAGATCACGAGAGAAAAAGCCCTTTACATTCCCCCACAAAAATGCAAAATTCAATCAGGTTTTTTTTTCCGCAAGAATAAAAAAGCGCTGCGTCAACAATGACGATCGAGTGGATTACCTGAAAGCTGGAGTGCGTCAGCATTTAGTAAAAATTAACTGTAAGTAACAAAGCGAAACAGTATCGCATTTGTAAGCTTCTTTGTGAATGGGCTGGAACGGTAGCGGTGGAATCGGTGGCGCGTTGTAATTCGCATTGTAAATTCAGGATTAGCACCCGATACAGCGAATCTTCGTTGCCGTCGAAACTGGTCGAAATCACGTATTCAATTACCACGCGTCGCGTCCGTCTCGACTCTCCGCTGCGTGAGAGCGCGATTACGATACGAAAAAGATCGCTGGCGGTATCGCGAGTGCCGGCGTGCGCGTTTTTAGCCGCGAATGTCTTCGCGGAGTTTCCTGAAAGAAAAAGCAAGAGAAAGGAAATAACGTTTGGCACCGACAGTTTGCATTATTGTCCTCGCGAAATCTACGTTTTTTTTTCCTCTACTTTTTAGTACACGCGCGATACGGCGCTCGTGATACCCGACGTATCTCATCGGTAAATGCGACAACCGTTGACTCGATCGTTTTGAAAAAGATAGAGAAGATTTGTTCTATGGT